CGGCCTGGGCTGTGTGGCCCATCCTCGCCTCCAATCCTCGTCAAAGGCAGAACTCCGTAGCATGAGAGTCTCCTGCGTAGTGGGGCCAGAAGGGTGCCCAAGGTCCCACAGCAAACTGCTCATTGCACTCCAAACACAAGGCATCTCAAAACATGGATACGAAATCAATGCGACTCCCACGCTGTCTCAGTGAACATGTGGGGATGTCAACTGGCTTCAGGCGTCGAGCTTCGACATGGCACGGGCGGAGCGCTTCTAGCTCGCCCAGCTCGGATCAGTCTGGGTGTGACTGTATAGGCTCCAACGACCTCCTCAGGAGGTATGACTGGGACCCCAAAAGGGTTCACCGAGCATAGAGTTGGTCCTACTTTCCTCAAAGATGGAACTGTAAGCGGTGTTTCCTGGATATGCCATCCCCAATTACTCGATCTAGTAGATCCACTGACTTACTCAGTGGCTTCTTTGATTGGCACTCGGAACGCCAATCTAAGCCACATGTATACATCAAGGGCTTTTCGGTCGAAACAAGAGTCACACACTTGAGGGTTCTCCCCACTTCGCAATTCCAGGACCAGCAAGATGGGAATGAGCCAGGAACACAAACATGACGCCAGATCACGCCAATCCATTCCAGCACATCGACGTCCGCACATCGTCCTGCTTGGCTGGAGCGGCGTCAAGAGTCAAGGCATGGCGTCGATGCAGATTTTGGAGCGTTTCTTGGTGGCGCAACTGGCTTGTAGCTAAATAGAATAACAGTAATAACATTCGACAAGACGGGTCTTGTTCATATTTGACGCTCCCTTCCTGTGGGTGTTGGGAACCAGTGTGTGTGTATGGGGAGTGAGACCCTTAGAGGGGGTGTTTCTTGCGGGTGCAACATGGCGCAAGTGACAAGTCGACTGGATCATGAGCTGAACGTCTGCTGCCGGATTTTACCTGAGCAGACCTTGAGTCGAACAAGCATTGTTTTGATTGTGGCTATATATAGTTGCTAAGTTCCTTTCAGGAACAGGCAAAGTGGACATCCCCAAATGGTGTCCAAAACCTCTGTTGGAGGAACTCATCACGTCTTTTTTACTTCTTATGCAGCTTTATTTTTGATGTTCATGAAAACCCGTGAGTGGGAAAACGTAGGCTCTGCGAACTGTGGAGTGGACAACGGCTGCCATTTCGAGCCTAAAAGCTGCGAGGAAACTATCTCTGTCTGTGTCAATCCAGCTGCACACCGCTGCAAACACTCGGCAGAAGGAGAGTGCAACTCCATACCGTACCCGTCTCCAACTCTATGTAAGAACCTACAGGTGATGGTGTCTGTTTCTATAGCTTCTAGACCAGACGCAGGCTTGGAACGTCCATGACGACACATACACAAACATCACAAACAAAGAAACAACAACAACAACAACAACAACAACAACAACAGCAGCAGCAGCAGCAGCAGCAAGACGAGACCTTGTCTCAGTCGCCGGCGAAAAAAAAGAGAGAGAGAGAGAGAGAGACCTCTTCCAAGGTTTTTTCAGGTTTGTGCATGAATCGAAGACGCATGTGTGACCTGCCATACCCAGTGACCTTTGGAGGTGAAACATTGATGTATCGACAATGTTGTTCTTGCTGTGAAAAGAATGTCGCAAAAAATCACAGTGTGAGGAAAGAACGGACACGTCATCGCCGGCATGAAGGACATCCCAAAGGGCAGAATCTCTGGCGTACTTCTTGAGATTTTTACATATTTTTACGATTTTTACCTCTCAAAAATGGGTCTTTCATGATCTGAAGAGAGGCTCCCGCACTAATTAGTTTTTCGTCGGTCGTGTCTGCTTGCACAGGTCTTTGTCCGGCACTGCAGGCTGAGGGTTCACAGGCTGAGGATGGCTGAGGGGTTCAGATTCGGTCACCTTTTAGATCCGTTTCTCTGCACCTTCACAGGGACGAAGCACATCATTGCGATTCGTGGATGTCGGATGTTGATGAACACATCAAGGAGATCCGGACCACCCAGCAAACCTAGCGGAGTCCCGAAGACGCAAACTTGCATGTTCGAAACCATCGGCATCACTGGCGGCCACTCACCCACCCACTTCTCAGCAGTGCTGCGAGGTCATCTTCTACCTCCACAGGGGGTGGAAAGGAATTCACGAAGAAATCACACACCAGAAATGGTCTGGTGTGGAGTTAATGGTGAACGTTCGAGCTGATAGGATCTATTTTGTGTGCTGCAAGTGATGTTCAAAAACACCATCGCACGGTGGCACGTGTTGAAACAACGTATCAGTGCATGAGGAGCAAAAAAACACTTGCTAGTAGCACACATTATGATCTGACCATCTGAAACAAACATCCTCAAACATGGGAACTTGCTACAAACATGGGAAGCATGGGAACATCCTTGTTGAAACAAACAGAAGGTGATGTGTTCGACACTGTTATGTAGGTTACGAGGGACCAGTCGTACCTTCTGAGAAGGTACGACTGGATCCCTAGGGCTTGGGAACTTCACCTCAAACATCCTCAAACCCTGAAGGAACGACTTCCCTTCTTCACCAAGACGCCGGGACACCGTTCTACCGTCGGTCGCGCGACCGACGTCGGTCACCTGGAAGCCGCCGCAACGACGACGGTTCGCCCTCTGGCGGTGAGGTCCATCCCGTTCGACGGAGGCGGGAACAGGAGATGTCGAACGAACAGATCGATCTGGAAAACGAACGATCGGTTCCAGTGATCGATCTCCCCTCTCCGCGCGGCCGAAGCGAACTAGGTGAAGCGAACTTGTTCCAGTTCGTTCGAGTGGAACACCTAAGCCCACCCGTCAAGTAGTGACCTGAAGGTGATCCACTGAGCTCATTCCGTAGTGCAGCCCAGTGCCCACATGCCCTGGAATTCCACTCCACCAGTGATTTGCGAGCCAAAAATGATTGCGATCCGACTCGTGTCCCATATCCTCAGAAGGTGGTTAGACCCCCCTGGCACCCACCCCAACCACCTTCGAAGCGGAGGTAGGCCAGGAGCCAAAACGGGGATTGAAAGCTCCTGAAGGTGTCCTCTTTGAAAAGCTTCCAAAGCTCTCCGCATCCTTTTCACTCTCTCGAGCAAACAACAGGTCAAATTAGCAGGTCTGACGGTCCGGTTCTAGACCCATGCCCCTGCGCGTGCAAAGAAACGAACTGGCTGCAAATGAAACTTGTACCACAAATCAGGGTCTGCCAGTGGAGGTGAGGATGTTCAATTCTGAATGTTTTTAATAGTACCATCTTTTGTCCCAATCGAACGGGGAAAACCGGAAAACCCTATTGGGCACTCCTTCATCTGGAGATGGGTGAATTTCAAGAGGTTGATGGGACATTGAGAGCAATTTTATTGGCCAGTGGGCCAGGATTGGTATATACGGTATAGAATGATGTTGCATGACATCACACCCACGATGTGTCCAGAATGAGTGCCGGCACCACTCCCCCATTTGTTGCTGAACGCTTTGGCGGACAGGAGACACAAACCTGAGCAAGATTTTACTATGCGGTGTTTCCACATGTTTTCCAATGCAAAATAACAATTCAATAATAATATCAAAAATGTGTGCAAATGTTTCCACATGAACATGTTCAGTGCCATTGAAGTTCTAGATCTTCCGCACCCCAAAGACTCTCAACAAATGAACAAAAACAAACCTCAGTCGAACCCTCCTGGCTAAGCTGGATCGATCACACCGAGTCGTTGGGTCTTTCCCAGGCCCAGCGGATGATGATGGTTAGGTTGCAGGCCTGTCCCTTGAATAGGTGATAATTGATGATCATTGTCTGTTGACGGTTGAAGGTCGTGGGACAAACCCAACAGACCCTTCTATTCAGCCTTTCCCCAGTTGAGATACCCTTTGAGAAAGGTCAACACTCCCAAGGAATTCCATGCTCGTCCGGGTCCTGCCCCCTGCGGCCTGAGACCCGTTTGTTGGCACATCAGGAGACCCTATAGACCCGCTGGGCAGAACCAATGGGGTGCTTATAGTGGAGACCCTCCTTCCATTCAAACTCAAGAAGACCAAAGCATTTGGTGTCTCGGGTATTCTTTTCTCAAACTTGAAGGGATCCGTTGGCAAAAACTAGCAATTAAGCTGAGAACCCATCGGTTCTGCCTCATACTGACTTATTGTGAAAACCTGCTTGTGACCTGACAGCCATGCTGGAATGTGTGAAGTCAAGCATACATTCACAACCTTTGGAAAAAAAAACAGGCCCTACCCCCTCAGTTTCCCCAACAAAAAAAACAAGCTGAACCTTGTTTGACTCGGTTCATTCGGTTCATATTTGGTGCCGAAACGCTTTACTTTACAGCCTTACTATGTTGCCGAGGTAAGGTGCTGTGATTTGCTCAACAAACGCCTCATGTCGTACGACCAGCTGGCAGCCGTGTGGTGGATCATGGCCGAGCTCAGACCAAACAGTCAATGATGTGTTTGTTACAGCCGCTTGGCTTCCTCCACATACCTCCGAACACATCATCTCAAGCAACACATGCAGAGCATGAAGGCCACCGAACTCGAGCACTCCCTATATCGATCCTTACTCCATATCTCATACCATGGATGGGTGGGACCGTCCACCACCTAGCAAAATAATAAAGTATTATTTTGAGGTGGGTACACCCACCTAGTTTTTATTAATTATGACAGTCCGGACTGGCTAAAATAATATTCCTTGAAATTCAAGAATCTTGTCAACATCATACAATGAGGAACTTAGGGGGTGGGTGGTATTCCTGGGGATTTACCGGGAGATTCATAGAAAGCGTCACGAACAAGTCATTCCACACTCAACCACTAGCAAAATAATTTGCCAAGCTCTTTTTCTCCTCCACTTCCTTGCACTTCCTCTGGTTCTGCTTCATTTGCGGCCTACGTGAGACCCCTATCGCAAGGCCATCTAAGACTAAATAGAACTGAATTACTGGGAAAATCTCCTACACCCCTGGAGAGCATCCCCACGAGATCAAAGTGCATGCCCACGAGCTCACGGACCAGATTTGATCTTGATAGCTGCAGGGGCCAGATGGTGGACATTGCCCAACCATCGCAAGAACCGGTGTGCCGGCTCACCATGCCGAGGAGCTCCACCTTGAAGGTCTGCATGAACAAGTCGTCCAATCCTAATCAGCTCAAAAATGCTCACAGGAAGGTGAGTTAAGAAATGCACACCGGTGACATATTAAGGACGTGACGGGAGGTGCTTTTGCTCCGGCGAAATGTTGGCTTTCGAAAATTTCATCGCGAAGTAGCCAGGGAGTCGCGCCAAAAGCTCATCCCAACTCACGAGAACCTTGTCGTGGCTTGGTAAAGTAACTTTCACACGCCGCTGCTCATCCAACAAAGGATAGTGGATCTTCTCGAAGTCCAAAGCCATGCCCTTGACGATCTGAAGGATATTGCTTTTGCCATTGTTTGTGTTCGGTTTGAGGGACTCCTCACCAATGTACCACGTGTCACTCTTCGCAGAAACCTTCTCGTTGAAGGATGTGCCAGCTTTTACTGCCGCCATGAATGCCTCTTCAGCAGCTTTAGAAAGCTCCACCTTCACCTGCATGGAAAAATTGAAAATATATAAACATATGAACAAATCCGTGAAAGATTAGGGATGATTTGGATTGATTTGGGGAATTTTGGGGATGATGCCACATGATGCCACCATATGCCACCCTATTTCACAAAAAAAAATCTGTTATTGTCGTCAAGTGAATTCAAGTGACATGGTGCTGAGTCCAGGAAACCTTGAAATTCTTCGGGTTCACCTCAAAGAGCACATCTCCATTTGTGGGGGTCAAAGTCGCGATTGGCGAGAGAGGCCTCAGCTAAAACTGTCATGAATAAACGTGATTGCTTTCCAGCTTCACGAATCTATGGATCTTTCTATATACTTCTCAATTTGTGCTAAAATCTGCAAAAGAACCCGCCAATTAAAGTATTGCCGTCCTCGCCCACAGGTATCAGGAGCTGAGCATGCACCGTCGTCACCACGTGGGCAGGGAAGGAGCCCTTGCCGCATCGCTTTTCGGTCTTGCAGCTCTTGGCGCTCCCCTTTGACGCGCGCCACAAACTCACTGGTGTGGCAAAGCGAAGGCCTCCACAACTAGTGGCAGCCGTCCTCAACCCGGCTGATCCAGATTCTAAAACAAAGACATCCCAAACATTCCCAAATATTCCCAAACAAATCCAAAACATCACAAAACAATGCCTTAGCTATCTCAGCCAAACCAAGGTTCAGCGGGCGCACAACTAGAAGCTGAAAGCTTCGATCGCCAGCTTTGTCAGGCTCAGTCGACGCATGGAATGCCTCAGGCTTCAAAGCGGCAAGCTCTGAATCGTCTGGCATCTCAAGTTCAACCTTGATGTCCTGAAGCACTCGCGAAGCAAAGCTAGTCCAAAGAGAAAACCGTGATTGCCTTTGGGCGCTGCATTGGAACGCGGCTCTGGCCAAAGCCAGCGCATGCTCGTACTGCTGATGCTTGTTGCACTTTGCTTTGCAGTTCATGACTGTTGCCCGAGACAAGATTCCTTCATGAATCCGAACCTTGGCAACGAAGTTGCGCATCGGACCACTGAGCTGGCGCACACGCCGCAGCATTCTACCTTCATGGTCATCTGTCTGACAGGTAAAGGTGGCCATCTTTGCTTGGTCCAAGACATCCTTGAGAGTGGACACAGCGTCTGGATCGAGATCCTTGATCCAGGCTTCTTCTTGGTCGCTCTCGTCGGAATCGGCTTCGATGGGGTCTGGCTTCTCAGTTGGCTTCTCATCCAAGCCTTTGAAGTCCGGGTCTTCTGCAAGCTGAGTCAGCTCTGCATCCAACTTCATCCCGGCCTGCGTCGCCTCAATCGATTCCACGAGTGGATCCTTTTCCTCTGACTCTTGCGCGGCTGGCTCCTCTGGAAGATCGTCATCGGAATCAGGTTCAGGGTCCTGAGCTTGGCCTGAAGCAAGGAGATCTCTGCCAGCCGTGGACCACCACGCTTCCAAATCATGCTTGATATCACTTGCCTTTCGCTTGATCATGCAACAGCTCGCGAGAGTGCACCTTGTGCGCAATCACGAAATCACACAAATTCTGCCAGACAACACAAATCAACAGTCATCATGCGCCTCTAACGTGATCGCGCAAAAAACGATGGAACGACACACGTTCAAAAAAAATCAGGAAAGCAAGCAGGCCAAAATTGGTCAAGCCGCACTAAATCCAAAGCTCTTTGAGATACATTCCCAAGGTCTGCTATGTCTCCGTCAAAGAGCCTCTTGGAACTAGCCTGCGTGGATATGCATGGAAAAGTGCGTGGAAAGCTCTAATCGTCAAATACATACACAATTGACAAATTATTTTTAGGGTGGTTAACCGTGAGTAGGTGTTAGAAATAATTGTCCAACATGGGAAAATATGGAACTAAACAGAATACTAGGAACTCATCAATATTTATTTTGATGGTGGGGGAGTCTGGGAATGTCTGGGATACATTGGGATGCCCTGAGTCTCAGTGATTCTCCATGATTCTCCGTGTCTAGTGTTGGGAGAAGCCCTGGGAACTCATCATAATTATTTTGCTGGTGAGGGAGTCTGGGATACCCTGAGTCTCCGTGTCTAGTGTTGGGAAGAAGCCCTGGAAATCCCTGGAACCTCCTTGCCTGCTTCCAGAGCACCATTTCCAATAATACTCAAATATACTCAAGTATATTCAGGGTCACCCACCCTCAAAATATTTTCTTAATATCTATACATGTACGGAGTTATTAATATACATGTATATATATATATACATATATTTGCATATACATCTGTATCCATCCATGTATCCATCTTCACCCATCTTCTCATGGCACACCCCCACCAAGTTCCCCACATGGTTCAAAAATATCTCAATTCAATTGGATTTAAACATTCAGTGGTAACGCCGGCCTCCTTCAAGGACCTTCTCTGCCTCGCGTGCAATACAGCTGCTGCACGGATAGCGTTGGCAACCGTTGGGGAACCGGTTTGGCGGTGCAAAGTCTTGAGACGTCCAAAGTAATGCTCTGCTGCGTCCTCCATCGCGTACTGTGGCTCCAGGACCTGTGATCTTGGCCAGTGTGCGAGCCGCAAAATCAGATGGCTGATCATGTGGAGGGTATTGAAAGCTGTCTGTTGGCTGATGAAGCACTTGTCCCATCTCGGACCAGCTTCTTCCCATCCCTCCTTGATGATCAGCAAGGTGAAATAGTAGGCCGCAAACGCATTCCTGGGCAAACAAACACGAACAATCGCAAACAGCGTGCTCTCAACTTAACCCGCTTTTGAATGTCATATTTCTAAAGTCATGTAGCCTAATATAGTGTTGTTAGTTAATGTTAGTTATGCGCCGCTGTAAAAAGGAATACAAACATTGTCTTCTAGGATTTACCGGGTATCTCCAGAAGCTCATCATCCTTGAAGGCTCGCGACGCTAGCCATGGTCCCAAGCACAATGCCTCCCAGAACCTTAGCACGCTCAGCAATGGCATGCCATTACATATATACAAACTATTACATACTAGTTTGATGAATGAACAATCCTGATCAAAGCTCAGGTGTGAAACAGAAAATGTACAGCTCAACCACCAGGAAACATAAACAGGATGATGCCGAGGTCATCAAATTGGGGTTGGGCGAGGAAGCGCGGGTTCAACATTGCTGAGCATTCCTTATCACTCTGGAGGTCCTTTCCCCAGATATACGTATCTGGACAATTGGCCAATGAAAGCGGTGACATAGAGATGTGCATGTGGAAGATCTTCGGTACTCTGGTCGAACTCCGGATAGCCCTCACCACTCCCTATAGCCAGAGAGCGCTAAAGATATATACGAGTTTCTGCATGTTTTGCACAGTGGAGTTGCCTCCTACATCCTCCTACATCTATCAGAATCTATCTATATCTCATCAATTGTCATCTATCGGCTGGCTTTCATGATATGTTACTGTACTCATCTACCCAAATTTTATCAATTCTACACACGACATCCCGCAAAAACTGCAGAAACACACTTTGTCTCCTGGCCTTTGCGACATGCTTAGGATCATTACATCCAAAGATTGGCTGCCCCTGTCCATTCTTCGCTGCCAATGCCTCAACCACCAGCTCAGCAGCATTCAGCAGCTCTCCATTGAGTTACTCCATGTTACTGATGTCATCTGATGCCGACAACAGATTACAGCGGTCTATATGATCTACAAATATCTACAAATGATACGCTGCCCAACCACTTCAAAATAATTTGGCTTGGCTGCTGCGAAGGGAAACATCAACGCGGGCACTTTGCGAGAAGGAACGCACTGCCTGCAAATCAAAACAAAAACACACAAAAACATTGGAGCTCCATGAGGCTGCACAAAGACATACAGAGACGGCATCAACCTAAATATACCTGAACTATTGAGCTTGCATGAATTCGAATATGTTTGAATTGAACGAACTTGCGGACGAGGATCTCAAAAAAAGGAATGCCCTGCACTTCGGACAGGGGCAGCAAACCGAGCAAAGCCTTGTTGAGTTTCTTGAAGGACTTGTGGTTGTCAACGGATACAGCAAGCGGTGCAGTTCCGTGATTCGCCTCAATGCCTGAGCGGGTTGTGTATCCAAGCCTGACATAGCCTTTTCCACCCTTACCAAAACCATCCAAAAATAGCTTACACCAGTAATCACCCGTATATCCCAGTGATTTCTGATGATCCCTGTTGCAGCCGTGCGCGGCCGTACCTGAGAATAATCAAAATACAAAACTCCATATAACTCCATATATCTCCCACTCTTGCGTATCTAAGCTACAGTGTTGGATTATGGTCCCCGTTTCATGCAGCTCGTGATCGGCAGTGCTTTTGTGGTCCCTAGGGATCATCTGGATCATGAAGGCATCACTTCTCTTGTTGACTCCCTTCAACAGGGTGCAAACGGTCACCGGCGCCAGATCCTCCTTGCGCAATCCGTCGATTGTGTCCATGTCCCTGCATGCGTTCGGAGCCTTCCCACCAACGACCACAGGTTTGGATGCGTCGTCAGGACAAAGGCCATAAAGCAAACTGTAGCTCTGGGCGAAAACGCATTCATCCCGTGTCAGCATATACGCCGGTGAGCCTTCGAGTTGGAGGCAATCCAAAGCTGCTCCACAGGCTTGCGTCAGTTGCTCCCCGCTAGCGCAGAAGAAATGTGGCAATTCCCGCGACAATAAGTTCGCCTGTCAACATGTGCCAGATTGTTCCAGGAACTGTGCGGACCAGCGCCAAGGAAAACATGAAAACGTAATTAGAAAACCTAAGACATCCTAAGACAAACCTTGATGTTCAGCTCATTTCACGCAAGCCCCATGATGCCCCAGCCATGCCTCTCTCCATGTAGTGACACACGATCTTGGAATGCCAAAAGCCCGTTGGATTTCCGTAGATTTCAGGTGCTGACCCAGAAGGAACCCGAGCTCCTTGCGAGGCAGATCAAGGTGGAGATCGCGGCACGACGATGGATGGAATGGACATCTCCCACCCAGCAGGCAGGATTGCAAACAAACGCATACTGTAACTTAATTTATCCCTTGCCAGTAGCTGCCAAAAAAATCACAAAAAACATGGCAGAGACAACGTGCCACAGGCAATGTAATGTTTACAAGCTGGTGGTATTTCTTGGTTGAAAAAATATTTTGG